CTGCGCACCTCCTCGGTCAGAGCTGCTACCTCGCCCTTGACGCTGTGCTTCTGTCCCCTTCCACACAGGTAATCTCTGCGAAATGATGGTAGCATTTTGAGTGAATTCAGTGGCAGAGCAGATACTCCGGGCATTCACTACACTGCAAACCTAGCTGTCTACTTTGTACACACTTACAAATGCATGCTTGCAAGTAGACACTTACAAACGCATGCTTGACGCCGTATAACTCCATGCGTCAAGCATGCGTTTGTAAGTGTGTACTTGCAAGCACGCACTTGTTGGCTGAGCGATAGCGAAGCCTGTTACTCCAGTGGGGTTGAAAAACTTTTTCTGTCTGTCTGTCTGTCTGTCTGTCTGTGTACACTACTCCTCCTGAACGGCTCGGCCGATCTGGCTGAGATTCTTCAGGCTTATTAGGTATGTTCTTGGCTCGGCACACGCGAAATTTCACTTCTCTAGCTTAACTGGTTCAGTTTTTATAGCCGAAAAACACCTAAAAAATGGCGAAAAATCGAGTTTCCTGCAGGTAGATCTCTCCTGTCTTGATGAAAGGGGGGTCTGGGGGGCGGAGCCCCCCAACCTGACAAGTTGAAAAGTTACAAGGGTCAAGGTCGTGTAATTTGTAGATGAAGCAACTCTATAAAGAGTGAAGGGGGTCTGGGGGCGGAGCCCTCCAGCATGCAACAAATCAGAAGTCACTGATGATGGGCAAACATTGCCTGCCGAAGGCAGGCTAGCGCCGCAGGCCAAGGTAGGTACGTCAGGCGCCGATTGGTGGAACAGGCCGCGAAACATCGCGAAGCCTGTTACGACAAGACGCGGTCTGGCGTAAACCTACCTTGTAAGTGTGAACTTGGCCAAGCATGCCTTTCTAAGTGTATACTTGCAAGCACGCATTTGTAAGTGTGTACTTAGTAGACAGTTAGGTTTGTTGGCTGAGCGATAGCGAAGCCCGTTACTCCAGTGCGGTTGAAAAGTTTTGTCTGCCTGTGTGTCTGTCTGTCTGTCTGTCTGTCTGTGTGTGTGTGTGTACACTACTCCTCCTGAACGGCTCGGCCGATCTGGCTGAGATTTTGCAGGCTTATTAGGTATGTTCTTGGCTCGGCACACGTGAAATTTCACTATCGTAGCTCTCGTGGTTCAGTTTTTATAGGCGAAAAACACCTAAAAAACGGCGAAAAATCGAGTCTTCTGCAGGCAGATCACTTCTGTTTTAAAGAAAGGGGGGTCTGCGGCGGAGCCCTCCAGTCCCAACAAGTTAAAAAGTTTCAAGGGTCAAGATCGTGTTATCTGTAGATGAAGCAACTCTATCTGGAATGAAGGGGGTCCCGCCCCCGGCATGAAACAAGTAAGAAGTAACCGATGATGTACAAGCCAATGCCTGCCGAAGGCAGGCTAGCGCCGCAGGCCAAGGTAGGTACGACAGGCGCGGATTGGAGGAACAGGCCGCGAGATACCGCGAAGCCTGTTACGACAAGACGCGGTCTGGCGTAAACCTACCTTGTAGTGTAGGCTAGCGCCTTTTGATCGAAATCCCATCCGCGAACTGTGTCAGAAATGACTCACAAACTAAAAATTTCAAACTGCTCATTTTTTTGAGTTTGGTGGGAATTGGTGGGCAGCGGCCTTGGCGGCGCTGGGTATAGCCCACGGTGTAGAGAGACTCGGTGGCGGCACGGAGGTACCCTTCCCAGCGCGTACTCTCCCCCGTCCCACAGTGGGCCAGAAGACCGGTGGAGGCGGCCAAAACGCGAGACGCGTTTTGAGCTCCAGAGTCGCTAAATGGGACTCGAACCGAACGTGTGACCCCACCAATGGATTGCTCTCCGAAAGAGGAATCCATTGGTGGGGTCACACGTTCGGTTCGAGCCCTGTTTAGCGACTCTGCACTGTTAGAAATTTATGTTCTGGAATGGAAAATTATCCCTACGTACTCAAGGTTCAAGAACGTTGTCTTGTGTTCCTCCCAAAAACATCAAAACTACCGTTGCCCAAAGAAATTTTTCATTATGAAATTAAGATGTATGTATTAAAACACATTAGCAGAGATTTGAAAATGAGAATAGTTATCATCTCAGATAATGTCCAACTGCATGTTTTCAAATGTAGAAGTTGTGTTCCTAGACACTTGATGAAATCACTAAACCCCATCAGCGTACAAACTTTCAACACAATAATCCATTTGTAAACATCAAAAGCCATCATCTCTGATAACATCAAAATGC